TTGAAAAACCAGGAAAATGATTTCCACATATGGCTGAGGCTCTGCTCTAGAAAATCTTATTTTCCATGAATTTTTTTCCCATCCCCCCATTGTCCATGAAGCCCAACCATTCACTCTATTGCCCTCCGCCCCCAACCGTAGTGGAGCTCCGCCGTCCATCGTCCTCCCACTTTATCGTCGTCATGAGAACCAGATCTGAGTCATCCAAAACGCAGAGATCGGGGGCTCCTCTTTCTCGCAAATCAGTAATAATTAGAAAATGGTTATGGGATGGATCAATATGTTGTTATATGTGTGGAGATTGTAGGACTTAAGCAAGATATTTCTTTAAAAAGGTTGCAGCGCGACGCAGTAGGGTTAATGACGTTCTTCATGTTGAAGATAAGGACGAATTGAATAATTCGCTCCTGTGGGGGGAAAATGGATAGGGAAATTAAGCATGGGGGCCCTAGCTAGTCACTTGTGAAGGTTTCAAGTACAAAAATACAATTATACATAGAAGCTAAAAGTGGAGCTAGTTTAACGGTGGAAGAAAACCTAGCCGGTTCGTCCGTACCAAACGGGCCTCTCTCATTAATACTGTGTTGATTCGAATTGATGAGAGTATCCTTCTGCATTAATTATATACGCGGTGGTGTGGCGTTCTTTTTCCCCCTCAGAATTTCGGTTGTTAAAGCTTAAAATTAGGGTTCAAGTTGATGCATGAGTAATTTTAGCTAGGTGATGTGCTTTAGTAATTAATTAACTGTGTGTGTTAGTTCTTTTATGGTGTGCTCACATTAATTAATAAGCTTCTTTTTAGCAAGCGGGATTTCGAAGGATATATGAAGTAATGAAGTTAATGAGGAGAGTGCAAGTTGCAAATTCTACAATAACTTTGGATATACTTGTTGTTGATGAAAGGGGGTTAATTGTGGAATTAAATTGCAAGTTGCAGATGGAGAGTGCAATTATATACGTACAAATTCTACTTTATAGGGTTCGCTTTCCATGTATGCTTGGCCCTGTTGATGTAGTAATATTATCGCAATGAAAAGAAATTGATCCGATAAAAGAGGAAGTTTCAGTTTTATCTCCCTTAATATAAAAAATAGGTGACTAGTTTAAATGAATTAAAAAAATTAATTAATTTAGTTATTTATAATAAATAAGTATTATCTTTCTTAAAATACTATTATTAATCATGTGTACTAGCTAATTTTTAACATATATAACTACTAAAAGGACTACATTGAGAAAAATAGATAAATATGAGAAACAAAATAAATTAGAGTGACCAAATTGAATGTCAAACTATCTCTTATACTACTTCCGGTTCTTAATATAAGAGTTAGTTGATTAATTTAGGTAGATTAATGAAGTTTGTTAAGTTAGTTATCTGTAATAAATACATCTTGTCTCCCCTAAAATACCTTTACTAATCATATCTATTAAGTTAGTTATTTGTAATAAACACATCTTGTCTTCCCTAAAATACCTTTACTAATCATGTCTATTAGTTAGAACTATTATCTTCAGTCCTAATTATTAAACCTTATTTGCAGTCTATAAATAGAGTCTTATAATTAGTACGAAAGGTAATACCATTTGATAGGTTCTTTAACATATAAAACTACTATAAGAACTATTTTTTAAATAAATAAATAAATAAATATAAAAAATAAATTAGATTGGAGCTTTATATTTATGATCAATTTAAAAGTCATACTATCTACTATATTAAAAAACGGTGGTAGTATATATTGTACGTTAATTTCCACGTAGGATTATATTATTGTTAAGCCTACATGCCGACATGATGAATGTACACGCAAACGCACAGCTTTGCCTCTCCAGAATGACAGTTGTTGAGGTGCAGGAAAGATCACAAAGTGGTCAAAGTGAAGGCTTGAAAACACACACACATACACGCATGCCTCACTTTCTAACAAATACTTCTTTCGTACTAAATCTAATATCTATTTTATGGTATAATTTATACTATAAAATAGATTTTAGTAACATTTATTTAATGTTCTTCATATGCAGTTTAACATGCATTATTAAAAGGAGCAGCCGCTTGAATACTCTATCAATAATTATACACGCACGCACGTGGCCAGACATTAGTGTTGTAATTATATATAAGATATGTATGAATATAATAATAAATATATCGGATTAGCTAGCTGGCTTATTGCTGGGCTCACTGGTTGTGTATGCAAGTTGCAAGTACTAAATGACCGCCGGGATAGTGGGAAGCTAACTTTTTGGTCTCTTTGTCTCAAGTTGATGGGTGGGCTGTGATTATTCCCTGTCACCATGCATATATTTACTTGTGTGTTGTACAAGTTTGCCTAAAAGTATGATGTCTGCTTCCTGGACGTCTCTTTCTCCTTTATTTGTTAAAATGGAATGCTGTGTTTTATATATATATATATATTCATGGCAATTTGAATGTAGTACAAGATGCACGCATTAGATTCGGGATTTTTGTTTCTTGGTTTCTCAATTTGAAGTAAGGAAGCAGACCGGTTTGGCAAGATGATGATTTCAAATTGGATAATTTTTTTTAATATGAAATTAAAAGCGATTACATAATCATTGATGGACAATTGATTGTTAGGTTACGTGAATATACAAGTTTGACAGCAAATTAAGTATAACATGTCTGGTTCAAGCGTCTGTAAATTATGTTGTTTGAAGCAAAACCAAATCAGATTAAATTAAGATTAGTTGTATGTAATTAAAGGGAGATATATATTGTTGCAAGATAGTTGATCAGCGGCAAAGGCTAAATTTTCTCAGTTTAAATATTATAGTTGGAAAAATGAAATTAATAATGACCTTAATAGGTGCTTCCAATTAATGAAATGATTAGACATGTACGTAGTTGTTGATTTATTTCACGGGTCGAGAAGCTTAGAATGAGTGGTAGTGAAGCCGCCTGGTTTCTCCCCCCCAGAATTCACGAGACCAACAGTAAATCTTTCGTCCTTTAATAATTTAGAATAAATATATTATGGATCCGCAAAACAAGAATAAAAGAACTAATTTTATTAAATACTGGCAAAAAAATTTATTAAATACATTTCATCCACTAAATGAATGATAAGATGCCAGATTCCCCTCGTTTTTTACAATACACTTCTGCCTGCACGGATTAAGGAATTTAGCATAATAATGCATTTAAAATTTTAAAATCACCCTAAATGAAGTTTATTAATTAGAGAAGATTGTTTAATTGGTTATGAGATTGTTTTGACGGTTAAATAAATATGCCAAGGCAGTTTGATAATGTTTCGGATATTAGAAAAAATTATGCTGAGGATTACAAAACATGGTCTTACAATTAATAAGGACGAGACGTTATATTTCCTAACTAACTTCCATTATCTGATGATCTATCAATCATGGTGAAAATGAATACTACGATCTGCTACCTGATAGAGATTTAATTTGACTTTAAACATAAGATCATAATTTATTTTATTTTCAATATATATCCATTTTATCACCAAGTAATCTTATAGTAACTGCATGTGTAGAAGAGTTTACATGAAAGTATTTTAATGATTGATGGAGGTATTTTAAAAAGAACAACATTCATTTGTTAAAAATAACTAACCTAACTAATTCTCCTAACATTTACAAGTCAGCTATCCAGTTCTGATATATTAAGAATCGGAGATAGTATATTCTGATTGTAAGGGTGGAGGACGAACTTAATCTAATTGTAAAATTAGACGAGGATATAAGAGTTATACTGGGAGGAAAATACGTGCTTTAATCAATCGCCGATACGTTTAGTTTCGTCTAAGCTAAGGGTGTAATTTGTGTGGCTGGTTATTAACTAAATGCTGATCAGAGAGAGACAAACAGACGACTACAGAACAAGCGGCGCTTACGGCCTCCGTAAGGAACCTTCTAGCCAGCCATCGTCATTTTCCAAGCTAAATAATAGTACATTTCACTCTTAATATAAGATCTTATTTAATTTTTATTTTAGTCATAAATGTAAGATTTTAGTTCATTTTATCTCTCATATTTGTACTTTTTTTTTTGATATAGTTCTTTTGATCATAATAGTTTTAGCCAATACGTTTGATTAGTATGTAAGGATATTTAGAAAAGACATCTATTTATTAGAAATAAATAATTTAACTTATTTTCTTAATCTCCTCAAACTAGTCAACTAATTCTTATATCTAGGATTGGAGGCATTATAAGAGTTAAATAACTAATTTGGAAATATTAAGAAAATTAATTAAGTTAATTATTTATAACAAATGTATGTTGACTTTCTTTAATTATTCTTATTCAGTACTACCTCCAGTCATTAATATAAGAGCTTGTTTGATTTTTATTTTGGTTCTAAATATACTATATTAAAAAACGGTGGTAGTATATATTGTATTCCACGTAGGATTATATTATTGTTAAGCCTACATGCCGACATGAATGTACACGCAAACGCACAGCTTTGCGTCTGCAGAATGACAGTTGTTGAAGTGCAGGAAAGATCACAAAGTAGTCAAAGTGAAGGCTTGAAAACGCACACATATGCACGCATGCCTCACTTTCTAACAAATACTTCTTTCGTACTAAATCTAACATCTATTTTATGTATGTATACTATAAAAATACTACCTCCGGTTCTTAATATAAAATTTTGTTTAACTTTTATGTTGGTCCTAAATATAAGACCACAATCCACTTTGTCTATTATATTTATACATTTTTTTTCAAAGTAATCATTCTAACAATGATAGTTCTAGATAACAAACTTGATTAGCAAGGATATTTAAAAAAAAATAACACATATTCATTACAAATAACTAACTTAACTAAATTTTTTAATCTCTCCAAATTAGTCAATTGGGTTTTTATAATTAGAATCGGAGGTAGTAGATTTTAGTAACATTTATTTAACGTTCTTCATATGCAGTTTAACATATATTATTAAAAGGAGCAGCCGCTTGAATACTCTATCAATAATTATACACGCACGCACGTGGGCACACATTAGTGTTGTAATTATATATAAGACACGTATGAATATAATAATAAATACTACCTCCGATCCTAATTATAAGACCCAGTTGACTTATTTGAGGAGATTAAGAAGTAAGTTAATTAGTTATTTGTAATAAATAAGTGTTGTCATTCCTAAAATATCCTTGTTAATTAAGTATATTAGCTATAACTATCATTATTAGAAGGATTATCTTGGAAAAAAATGCATAAATATGAGAAACAAAATGGATTGGGGTCTTATAATTAGGACCAAACAAAAAGTCAAACGGGGTCTTATAATAAGGACCGGAGGTAGTATATCGGATTAGCTAGCTGGCTTATTGCTGGGCTCACTGGGTGTGTATGCAAGTTGCAAGTACCAAGTGACCGCGGGGATAGTGGGAAGCTAACTTTTTGGTCTCTTTGTCTCAAGTTGATGGGTGGGCTGTGATTATTCTCTGTCACCATGCATATATTTACATGTGTGTTGTGCAAGTGTACTTAAAAGTATGATGTCTGCTTCTTGGACGTCTCTTTCTCCTTTATTTGTTAAAATGGAATGCTGTATTACATATATATATATATATATATATTCATGGCAATTTGAATGTAGTACAAGATGCACTCATTGGATTCGGGATTTTTGTTTCTTGGTTTCTCAATTTGAAGTAAGGAAGCAGACCGGTTTGGCAAGATGGTGATTTCAAATTGGATAAATTTTCTTAAATATGAAATTAAAAGCGATTACATAATCATTGATGGACATTTGACTGTTAGGTTACGTGAATACAAGTTTGACAGCAAATTAAGTATAACATGTCTGGTTCAAGCGTCTGTAAATTATGTTGTTTGAAGCAAAACCAAATCAGATTAAATTAAGATTAGTTGTATGTAATTAAAGGGAGATATATATTGTTGCAAGATAGTTGATCAGCGGCAAAGGCTAAATTTTCTCAGTTTAAATATTATAGTTGGAAAAATGAAATTAATAATGACCTTAATAGGTGCTTCCAATTAATGAATTGATTATACATGTACGTAGTTGTTGATTTATTTCACGGGTCGAGAAGCTTAGAATGAGTGGTAGTGAAGCCGCCTGGTTTCTCCCCCCCAGAATTCACGAGACCAACAGTAAATCTTTCGTCCTTTAATAATTTAGAATAAATATATTATGGATCCGCAAAACAAGAATAAAATAACTAATTTTATTAAATACTGGCAAAAAAAATTTATTAAATACAGTTCATCCACCAAATGAATGATAAGATGCTAGATCCCCTTTGTTTTTTACAATATACTTCTGCTTGCACGGATTAAGGACTTTAGCATAATAATGCATTTAAAATTTTAAAATCACCCTAAATGAAGTTTATTAATTAGAGAAGATTGTTTAATTAGTTATGAGATTGTTTTGACGGTTAAATAAATATGCCAAGGCAGTTTGATAATGTTTCGGATATTAGAAAACATTATGTTGAGGATTACAAAACATGGTCTTACAATTAATACGGACGAGACGTTATATTTCCTAACTAACTTCCATTATCTGATGATCTATCAATCATGGTGAAAATGAATACTACGATCTGCTGCCTGATAGAGATTTAATTTGACTTTAAACATAAGATCATAATTTATTTTATTTTCAATATATATCCATTATCATCAAGTAATCTTATAGTAACTGCATGTGTAGAAGAGTTTACATGAAAGTATTTTAATGATTTGATGGAGGTATTTTAAAAAGAACAACATTCATTTGTTAAAAATAACTAACTTAACTAATTCTCCTAATATTTGCAAATTAGCCATCCAGTTCTCATATATTAAGAATCGGAGATAGTATATTCTGACTGTGAGGGTGCAGGGAACTTAATCTAGCTGTAAAATTAGACGAGGATATAAGAGTTATACTGGGAGGAAATACGTGCTTTAATCAATCGCCGATACGTTTAGTTTCGTCTAAGCTAAGGGTGTAATTTGTGTGGCTGATTATTAACTAAATGCTGATCAGAGAGAGACAAACAGACGACTACAGAACAAGCGGCGCTTACGGCCTCCGTAAGGAACCTTCTAGCCAGCCATCGTCATTTTCCAAGCTAAATAATAGTACATTTCACTCTTAATATAAGATCTTATTTAATTTTTATTTTAGTCATAAATGTAAGATTTTAGTTCATTTTATCTCTCATATTTGTACTTTTTTTTTGATATAGTTCTTTTGATCATAATAGTTTTAGCCAATACGTTTGATTAGTATGTAAGGATATTTAGAAAAGACATCTATTTATTAGAAATAAATAATTTAACTTATTTTCTTAATCTCCTCAAACTAGTCAACTAATTCTTATATCTAGGATTGGAGGCATTATAAGAGTTAAATAACTAATTTGGAAATATTAAGAAAATTAATTAAGTTAATTATTTATAACAAATGTATGTTGACTTTCTTTAATTATTCTTATTCAGTACTACCTCCAGTCATTAATATAAGAGCTTGTTTGATTTTTATTCTGGTTCTAAATATAAAACCACAATCCACTTTATCTTTTATATTTATTCATTCTTTTCAAATGTAGTCATTATAATAATGGTAGTTTTAGTCAATACACTTGATTAGTAATGATATTTTAGAAAAGACAATATTTATTTATTACAAATAGTTAGTTTAACTAATTTTTTAAATATACTCAAATTAGTTAACTAGCTCTTATATTAAGGAGCGGGGATAGTATTATACGTTGAAACCACTACACTTGGGCAGGGGAAGTATTAGTGACCGCTGAATATGTTCTTTTTTAATATGTTCGACGTTACGTTAATTGACAACAACGTCAAGTTTCGTCATTATTTCTCAATTTTCCGCCAGCTATTTCTGTTTAGCTTTGCAATCAGTAATCGCACAAGCATCCACCCAATTCTCATAAATTATAAATTTTTTCACCACTTACTATTTTAATTTTCAACTTGAACTATAAATAAATTTACATAATGCAATTTTACAGTCATAAATATGTCATGTATATCCTGTATATATGCATAAAACCTAGGTAATAAATCACGCTATTAATTCCTTACCAAAAAAAATCATGCTATTAATTACTTAAAAATAGCTATATAACTTGATTAATGTTTACTTTTATATTAATATATTATATAAACAAATTTTTATAATTATGACAGGAGGTAATGTGTGTGTGTAATAAAGACTGTTAGTTTAGACTCCGTGCGCTGGTTAAAAAAAAAAAAAAAAGGTTTACACTCGGTACAAATGCGTCCAACGGCTTTTTTGGTTGAATAGTACGTAGCTGAAAAGCCCGTCTTTATTAATCCTCAGACAACGTTGTTATTTTCTTTCTATTCTCCATTCGCCTCTCTCCATTTTTTTTTTATTTTATTACTTAAGTCTCCAAGTCGTCTTCTCCGTTTTCTTATTCACGTTTAGGTTTTTATTGTTGCAATTTTTAAAACTCAGCTCACTTTTTTTTTGGCATTTTGTATTCAAATATTATGTATTGTTTTGATTAATACGATATGAAATTTTTTTTTTGGTGCAACGCAATTTGTGTTCGCCATGATCAACGTACGTCAGCGAGCAATAAAACATGCCTGGAGCTGCCTTTGCTGATTACCTGTTGTTTTGCTACTCTTATTTATATACTCCTCCGGTCCTAAGACCCCATTTGACTTTTTATTTGATCCTAATTATAAGATCCCAATCTATTTTGTCTCTTATATTTATGCATTTTTTTCAAGATAATCCTTCTAATGATGATAGTTTTAGCCAATATACTTAATTAGTAAGGATATTTTAGGAATGATAACACTTATTTATTATAAATAACCAACTTAACTTACTTCCTTAATCTCCTCAAATAAGTCAATTGAGTCTTATAATTAGGACCGGAGGAGTATTACTTTTAATATGTTTCACATAGATTAAGAAAAATATTTCATTGACTTTTATTTAAAATAAATAACTTTATAACTTTATCCCTATTTAATATATATTATACTTTATATAAAAAAAAATTTAATACAATGATACATAAAGAGTAAAATTGTGTACCTATATAAAAAAAAATTCTCCATAACCTATAAATAGAATAAAAAAATATTTTTTCTCTTTTTTTTATAAATAAAACTGGAAGAGGATCTCATATTCTACGGATAGAAAAAAACAAAGAAAATGGTAACTTCCCTCTATAGCCAAAGCCGCGCTGTTTAATTAGAAGACATTTAGTGGTTGATAGCACAAAGTCCATCTCATACGGAGACAATTTAATAACAGTTGGTTGATAGCACAAAGTCCAGGGAAGGAAACTACTACTTGTGGTTTTAAATACTCCTCCGGTCCTAATTATAAGACCCAATTGATTTATTTGAGGAGATTAAGAAAGTAAGTTAAGTTGGTTATTTATAATAAATAAGTGTTATCATTCCTAAAATATCCTTACTAATTAAGTATATTGACTAAAACTATCATCATTAGAAGGATTATCTTGAAAAAAATACATAAATATAAGAGACAAAATGGATTGGGGTCTTATAATTAGGACCAAATAAAAAGTCAAATGGGGTCTTATAATAAGGACCGGAGGAGTATAAAAGCTGGTTGACTTGTTTGAGTAGATTAAGAATATAAATTAAATTAATTATTTGTAATAAATAAGTATTATTTTTCATAAAATATCCCTGCTAGTCAAGTTTTTTAGCTAAAATTACCATTATTATAAGGACTATAAAAAAAAAGAATAAACATGAGAGACAAAGTGAATTGAAGTCTTATATTTAGGATCAAAATAAAAGTCAAACAAGATTTTATATTAAGAACTGGAGTAATACTTACTAAAAAGTCTCAATAACAACTTAAGCAACCGGTAATAACAAGTTTCAAGGTAGGATATAACCATTTTTAAGATTTATTTTATAATTATTTTCTTTTATTGGGATCTCATCTTAATTCTTCCATAATATTAATCATCTCTCTCAAGTCTTTTTTAAAATGTGAGTTTGA